ATTATGTATTTCTTGCACATATTATATTAAGTTGTGAGCTTTTTAGACATTAAACAAATTAATAAGAGAATAAATTAAATACAACTTAGAATTATTGTTAAAAAGTATTTTTTGCGCCTTTTGTTTGTTTGTGTGAGTGTGAACTATTTGCTAAATTATGAACAATTTTTGTTTGTGGGTTTTACAGTTATGCTTGACCGATATGGAATGCGTTTTTCTTTTTAGCTATTTTCCCTAGGCAGCGCTACGAAATGCTAATTCAAAATCTTACCACTAACGTTTTGTTCGACATTTTGGCCGCTAATACAAAAATGGCAGCGCCTCACTTTGGCTGCTTGGGGCGCGCGGGCAAGGGCAGAGACTTGCGCACGGGCTCCCCGCGATTGGGCAGCTTGCTGCGCAGCATCTGCTCGTGCACGTACAGCAGCAGGCCCACGTCGCGATGTCCGGCCTGCCAGGCGATCTTGAAGGCCGTGCTGCCATCCTGCATGGGTAGTCAAGTGGGCAGAGGGTGAGCAAAGGAATGGCTGAGAGCACACAATGCATACGTACCACATCCTGGACCAGCGAGTCGCATTCCGGCTGCGACAACAAATGCTTCACAATGTCCACACGGCCGTGCTCGGCGGCGCACATCAGCGCCGTGCTGCCATCCTCATCCTGTATGTTGATATCGGCGCCGGCCTCGAGCAGCATTTCGACCATGTCGCTGTTACCATGCGACACAGCTAGCATCAATGCGGTTTGGCAGTGCTGCAAGAGTTGGTTGGGGCAAAGGATCGGGCACGAGGTGAGTTAATGGGTGGTAGAACAATCAATCATATGAGTGATGCGGTGCCAATCGACCAGGTGAGAGGCATTTACCTACCTTCTTGGCTCGTATGTTGACATCGGCCATCTGAAACAGTCGCTCCACGACTGTCCGATGCGCCGCCTGCTTCAGCTTGGCCAACGAGACGAGCATGACGCACGTGTATCCCGCGTTATTCATTTGGTTTACATTGCAAACCTTGGAATCCAGCAGTATGGATACGACGTCAAAGTTGCCATGCGAGACCGCATAGTGCATGGCCGTGTTGCCCTGAGGGAGATGGGGGAGATTATATTAATATTTCAGTTTCAGGTAAGACTGTAATAATTCTTCTGCTCACATTGCTATCGGAGAGATTGACACAGTACTCCAAGAGTGGCACCGACAGAGATTCAAAGTAGTCCAAGTAATCCTCCACCTCGTGGGGATTGGATGTGGCCGTGCTGGATATGCGAAACCAGTGGTCGCTAATGGTGGCCTTGGATGTCTTCAGGCTGAACGAAGTGATTGGCCGAGAGCCCAGTTTCTTCAGCAGCGAATCATTGATCACCTTGAGGGCCTCCTTCAGCTCCTTGGCCAGCTCAGATCTGAGGATGAATAAAAATGAATAAGAAT